ATCTGGTTTAATAGTAATATGTGAGCCACAGGGACTCAGCAATTTCGCACCCTCGCGATCAAGACTATTTAAGCTTATATGTAAGGCAAGGTAAATATGTGGGGCTGCAGCAAGCGACTAGCATATATGGTGGCTATCCTGTTCGCAAAAGAGAGCGAGAAGAGGAGGCAAAGCGCGAACGAATAACTAGAGCAACCTGCGCAAATATTACTCCAACACCGTGTCCACTTCCCGGACTCCGCCGAGAAGAGGCCATCACGGTAACTCACACTGTTGATTCATTTTAATTAAGTTAAGGTTCAAGTTATCTACAACCGGACATTAACAAATTCCCATCTGCCCATAACCGCGGGCACGGCTTTCAAAAATTCAAATCCCTGCAGGGGAGTCCCAACTTAGCCCATGACAAGCTCTCACGGTCAACGAAGAAATAGACCTCCTCCCGAGACGTTCCGATTAGACTCGGTATCTCGGTTCTTCAAGACACTTCGACAGGTTAAAACAAATCCAGCAACACCGCACGAATGTGCCGACAAATCCCGATAGGAGCTGCACATATCTCGTTCTCAGGGCACACTCAGATTGTCTAAACTTCCGGTAGGCCAGCCCAGAGTTGCCCCTGGTAGCCACCGGCGTCTGAAGGGTTGGACCAACACTCAGAGGAGCACTGGCCCGGGGGGCTTTAAAATAAGATGACCCTCGGGCTCCGGAAACCCAAGGGAAAAAAGGGGGCTAGGTGGCAAATGGTAAAACCAAGGTTGGGCATTGCTGGAAAAGTTTTAATCAAGGCGAACTATCAAGGGGTTCCCATTATAACCCAACCGCGTAAGGAACGCAAAATTCGGGAACATAACACCGATATGACGGAAACTAGGGCGGCAAGAGTGGAACAAAACACTAGGCGAGAGGCCGAGCCTTCCACCCTTTACCAAGTATATAGATGCATTAAGATAACATAGCAATATAATGATATCCCAACAAGTAAATAATGTTTCAACAAGGAACGGTCTCCAATCTTCACCTGCAACTAGCAACGCTATAAGAGGGGCTGAGCAAAGCGGTAACATAGCCAATCAACGGTTTGCTAGGACATGGTGGGTTAGAGGTTTGACATGGCAATTTGGGAGGCTTGAAAGCAAGTGGTAGGCATCGTAGCATTGGCATAGCAAAAGAGCGAGCATCTAGCAAAGCAAAGATAGTAGTGATTTCGAGGGTATGATCATCTTGCCTGCAAAGTTGTCAGAGTTGACTGGATCCTCGAAAGCAAACTCAATGGGCTCCTTGTTAGCGAACTCGTCTCCCGGCTCTACCCAAACAAGACAAACAAGCAAACGGAACACAATCAACCACGTGCAAAGCTTAAACAATATGATGCAAGAATGGTATGCTATGCGGGATGCGATGCGGGATGCATATGCAAGATTTGACAAGGAATGCATGAACCCGGCCTCAACATGGAAATACAAGTGTTCCACTGGAAAGATGAGATGAAATCGCTTGAAAACGATATAAAGAACGCCGGAATCGGAGTTACGGTTTGGAAATGGCAACGATTCAAATATGGCCACGTTCTGCGATTTACAGCAAGTAGCCATCTAAATACAACAAGATGAACATGCTACAACACCCAAACATGACAACCAAATACATGACAGGGATGCATTCAAGATGCTTAACAAAAGTCTAGCACTAAGGTACGGCCAATTCATCCATTAACATGTTCAAACAAGCATGGCAAAAAAGTATTTGGTAAACAGATTTCAGACTTAGTGAAATTAACACTTGTCTAGAATTTCAGATCAGATAGCACTCCTCGGAGCATGAAAATTATATGCTACAGGACCTGAACATGGAAAGTAAAGCATGGCATGGAGCTACTCAAAGATCTTAACAAAAATCTCTTAGTGACCTTGAGCCAAAAGGGATTAGAAAATACATTTGCAAGCATGTGAACATGGCAAAAACATAATCAGTTCTCAGACTTAGTGAAAACTGGAGCATGCTGAAAACAGATATCAAGTAGGCATGTTTACGAGCTCGATGCACTCACTACGGAGCAAGTCATGAAAAGCTAAGCATACATCCATCAAGAATATACAAAATGCAAGCTAGACATGGCAAGAACAATAGCATAGCATGCACGGATCAACTACAACATCCTCGGCAAAATCGCTAACAAGTAGACAATCTGCCCAGATTCACGAAATAGCAAACGTAGAGCTCGATTAACTCAAGCTAGGGTGCTCCATAATTGCAAACAAAGACATGGATGGATAGAGCACTACAAGATTAACAAAACATCCTTACTGATCATCCTCAAAAGAGGCACGGATCACTAGGAAACAACATGAACATATGGCCATATGAGATAAACAACTCAAGGACTTAGTGGAAATGCTAAGTCCCTGAAATCAGCATTACCAAGTGCCTCACTTTGCAAGCTCGTGCTAGTCACCACACACATCACAAAAATACATGGGTTGCACCTCTGGAAAGATGGCAAAACCCTTAACAAAACATATGTAGGGCTCATGGGCATATCATGCACACAATAATCATGGCAAAAATGACAAATATCTAAATGGAGTAGCAGATCTGACAATTATCTCAAGTAGCACTCTTCTAACAGCATTTCAGGCATCAAGATGAACTCAAATAAAAATGATGCAATGGAATGAAATGATGTTCTCTCTGAGAGGAACAATATGATATGCTATATGCCTAAAACGGAGCTACGGATGCAAAGTTACAACGCGATGAACAAGGGCATATGAACTAGGGTTTCGGGAGAAAGTCAACCGAGTTTTGGATCTGGATCTGGATCTGGCCGGCGCGGATCCCGAGGTTCGTCGGAGTTACTGTTCACCGGAGGAGCTCGTGGCGGCCGGAGCTCGTGGACTTCGCCGGACTTGGCGGATCCGGCCGGAGGAGGACGGGGGCGGCACCGGCGAGGCGATGGCGGGAGGTGGCCGGACCGGGTGTGGCGGCGCGCGGGTGAGTCGCCGGCGACGAGGCAATGCCCGGCGAGGTGGGCCGCGGCGGCGCCGACCGGCGAGGCGGCTCGGCCGCGGGGAAGAAGGCGGCGGGGCTCCCAGGCGCGGGCGCGGGGCGGCTCGGGCCGCGGGGGCCTGCCCCGGGCCGCGCGGGCCGGTGCGGTGGGAGACGGCGGCGGCGAACGGCGGCGTGCCACGTGGCGGCAGGGAGGCAGATCGGACGTGTCCGGCCGGCGGAATTTTTGTCCGGTAGCGAGGAGAGGGAGAGAGTTAGGGTTTCACCCGTGAATTTCGGAGGGGGTTCTATATATAGGCATAGAAGGAGCTAGGAGTGTCCAAATGAGGTGCGGTTTTCGGCCACGCGATCATGATAGAACGCACTATATGATGGAGAGGGTTTAGGTGGTTTTTAGGCCAACTTGGAGGGGTGTTGAGCTGCAACACACGAGGCCTTTTCGGTCCCTCGGTTAACTGTTGAGGCATCAAACGAAGTCTAAATGGTACAAAACTTGACAGGCAGTCTACCGGTAGTAAACCAAGGCCGCTTGGCAAGTCTCGGTCCAATCCGGAAATGTTTAATCCCCACACACGAAAGAAAGGTAAAAATGGCCACCGGAGGAGAACGAAGCGCCGGAATGCAAAACGGACAACGGGGAAAATGCTCGAATGCATGAGATGAACACGTATGCAAATGCAATGCACATGCTGACATGATATGAGATGCATGACAACGATAACAACACATGAAGGCAAAGACCCGAACCCAAGAAATAAAATAACTTAACGCCGGAAACGGCAAGAGTTGGAATACATATTGGGAAAGTCATATCCGGGGTGTTACAAATAGCTAAGTTTCTATTTTATTTATTTGGGAATTTGATAAGATTATAATCTTGAATGCCAAATAGAATAACAAAATCTATCAATTTTGACACATTTTTCATTGCAAGGCTAAAAGACACAACTTTATTGAATGCATATCACTTATAGAATAATACCCCCTCCGTTTCAAAATATAAGGTGTATTAGTTTTTTTTAAAGTCAAACATGTTCATGTTTGACCATGTTTCTTGAAAAATATATCAATATCTACAAAACCAAATTTATATCGTTTGATCGGTCATGAAAAGTATTTTCATAACTTGCATGTAAATTTATACATATTATATTCTAGAATGGAGGGAGTATTACGGTAGACGAACGTTACTATGATTGGCCTATCTTATAGGCTCGACGCGCTGAATAACCATCCCAAAAGTAGCACCATATTTGTGAACCGAGTGTAGTTTAAATTGTATTGTTTCATGTGTTCCAATCACTAGGCGATGACTCACGCAATTTTGCGGGAAACATGGTAAACAGATGCATAATAGGTGCTAAAAACTAAAACTGCTCCAGAAAACAATTTAGAATTGTTGTCGGTTTATATTTAAAAAAATCATATGAAGCATTTGACAAAATGATCTATAAAAATATAAACTATTGAATTAAAGTAAACAGGGGCCTATTTAAACGAAAATGTGTACATGATCTACATATATTTGCTCTAAGCGTTCAATGTATATACCATTTATGCCCACACAAAAATTAGTAAAAAATGGGTAGATTAATGCATAAATTGTAACTTATGACCACATTCATGAATTGATGATGTGGCATGGTACCATGAAGAGGTGAAATGAGTACTTATGACTGTTTGACACGAAAAATAATAACAAACAACGATGGTTATCGTGTTATTATCTCTTTACGCGCCAGAGGAAATAAATATTGCGGGCGTGCCAGTGTACTAAGTACACAAATAAAATTAGGGAAACTTGTATTTTATTAATCTCTCATCGGAGAAACAAATTACATGATCCCTTTACATAAGCGCTCAATGGCCTGCTAGCTCGGCCAATATGACTTCGGCGATTGTGAGGTTCTAGTTCACGGGGCCTCGGAAGACTCCCGATTAATTACGTCCGCAAGCCGGAGCCGCGAACCACCTCCGATTAAGTTGTTGCAATGGTTGTCGTCTTCAAGTCTCGTCTTCTCCAAGTGCTTGGTGTAGACGATGGTGATGATGCGGTGGAATGGAAGAGTGGAGCGGTACGTCCGTCGCTCCGGCGATGCTTAGCCACATCCCACCGACTTGTCGATGTCCGATGATGAAGATGTCTGGCTTCGTCAGCTCAGACAGATGGGCGGCCTTCGCCTCGTCGGTGCCCGGCCTGGTGGTGTCCGCCTCGTCGGTGTCGGACATGGTATGTCTTGCCTTCGCCTCGTCGGTGCCCGGCAGGATATGGGTAGCTTCATCGGAAGAAGACATGTCGGTGAAGTGGCTTCGCCTCGTCGGAGCTTGGACGGGGTTTGGGGAGTGTGTTGATGTAGAAGTCGGAGTGGACTCAAGTGTCGCCATGTGGCGGCGTTGCTTGAAGATGACGACAATGCGAGCTCGTCGATATAGACATCAGACCGTCGCAGCTACAGGGGCGGCCTCCACTTGGTATAGAAGAATGACAATATGTCAGTGTAGACGGCCTCGTCGCTTAGACGCAAAGTCGAAGAAGATGGCCACGACATATGGATGACAGGTGGTGCTGATGTAGACGACATCCTCGTCAGATGTACAGCTGCTGAAGTTGGCGACGCCTTGTCGACGTAGCCGGGTGGCGTGTCGAGGCAGTCAGTGCCCTCGCCGGGAGAGAAGTTGATGAAGATGGCGAAGTCAGGTTGATGTAGAAGCCTTCCTCGTCGAGCCCGGGATTGGTGATGACAACATTGGCGAGGTTGATGAATATGTGAAGACGGTGAGCAGCTCCTCCTCCGTCTTCTTCGTTCGCACACAGGGCGCTGATTATCCATCCATCTCGATTGTGATTCGGATGCACTGAAATGAGAAAGATAGGAAAAGAGAAAGATAAAATGATGCGTGTACGCATGCCCTTTAAAGAAGATAGATGACGTGATTTTATTCTTCCCTCGCTAAGGTAGATGATGGCACCGCCTTGGACGACGACCTCCTCACTCCGGCTTGTACACCACTGCTGATGTTCGTCGTTGTCTTCGCGGTCTTCGTGGGCGCGTACCAGGTCGCCGCCGTCTTGAGCCTTGTTGTGGCGCGTACTACATCGCTGCCGCGAGTGTCTCATCGACCATATGGAGATGGCATCCAAGCTTCTTCTTCCTGTCTACATGAATATCACCGCCTAGTTCTTGGGTGCCATGTATCACTGCCCTTAACTTGGAATGGGGAAGACCGCGCCAGGCTATAGGTCGGCAGCTTCGATGTCGTGGTGGTGCCGTAGATGGTGTTGGACCAAACGCCGATAGGATGGAGATGGCACCGAGCCGGATACCGCCGGCCTCTCCGATGTCGCCGCCGAGGTGGAGTTGGCGCCATGCTACTCGCCGGCGGCCTTGCCGCCGTTGTGGTGGTGTAGATGGTGTTGGGCCGGATGCCGCCCGCCTCTCCGATGTCGCCGCTTGTTAGACTATGTATAGCTTCTGTACCTATGTACGTATATGGTACATATTGTAACACAACCATTATATATAATGAGATAAGCCATCCCTAGAGGGTCGTGCTGGTTCCCCAAAACTTATTGTCTTACATAGTATCACGCTAGGTTACGATCGCTTCCGCTTCTAAACCCTAATACCCGCACCGCCGCCGCAGCCGCCGCCGCCGCGCCACCGATCGCGCCGCCGCCATGTCGAGCGCCGCCACCACCGGTTCCACTGCTGCGGGCTTCCTCCCGGCCTCTCTTGCGGCTCTGCTCAACCTCCCGCTTGATGCCGTCTCTGTTCCGGCTCCGATCGGGACAAGGAGCATCGGCTCCGTCTTCTCCACGCCGCCGGCGCCCTCGCTTGGGCGTGACCTCGTGGTCCACACCGCGGCGCCGCCGTCCGCTGCGGACTCCGCAGGCGTCGTCCCGCCGCTCCTGCCGCAAGCGGATCACACTGCTCCGCTGGCGGGGTTGGCGGCGTCCGCCCCGGCCGCGGGCCTTGCGGCGTCCGCACCGGCCGCGAGCTTTGCGGCACCCGCCCTGGCTGCGGTCCCGCCTCCTCCCGCATCGGCTTCGGTGCCTCCGGCTGCCTCCATGGTGTTTGCACCCCAGGCAGCCTCCTCGATGGGATTGTCTTCGCCGCCGCCGTTTCACTTCGGTCATCTCATCACCATCAAGCTCTCCGCCGACAACTACATCTTCTGGCGTGCGCAGGTTCTCCCGCTCTTGGGGAGTCACTACCTGCTAGGCTACGTCGACGGATCGCTTCCCTGCCCACCCGCACTGGTAGACAGCATGCACGGTCCGGTCTACAATCCGGCCCATCGCGTCTGGACGGGGCAGGACCAGGCGAACCTCTCCTCCATCCAGGGGTCGCTCTCGCCGGCAGTTGCCGGCCTTGTTGTCTTCGCGAAGACGTCTCATGAGGCCTGGACCATCCTTGAGCGCACCTTTGCAGCGCAGTCCCAGGCTCGTGTCTCTGCACTCCGTCGTCAGCTTGGAGAGTGTCAGAAGCTTGACTCCACTGCCACTGAGTTCTACAACAAGGTCAAGGGCCTCGCCGACACATTGGCCTCCATTGGACAGCCCCTCACCGACTCCGAGTTCAACTCGTTTATTGTCAATGGTCTTGATGAGGAGTATGATGCCTTAGTCGAGATCATCAACGAGCGGGGCAACTCGACACCCATGCTGGCACACGAGGTTTTCTCTCGGCTCCTTCTCACTGAGCAACGGGTCGAGACTCGCCGCACCAGGGGCACTGGCTCCCTCTCGGCCAACGCCGCCACCAAGGGTGGCCGCTCTTCTTCATCACCCCGGTCTCCCTTGGGGCTGCCACCGTCACCCGCCTCGGCCCCCCCACCTACTGCGACCTTACCGGGGGCTGGCGGTCCACGTGTGTGTCAGCTTTGTGGCCGCGATGGGCACTGGGCCTTCAAGTGTCATAAGCGCTTCCAGCGAAGCTTCCTTGGTCTTGGCAATGACGGCAAAGATACACGCAACAATGCCCGTCAGGTCGCCATGGCTGATCGTCCCGCGCCGCAGAAGCAACAGGGACACACTCAGTCCTACTCCATCGATCCACACTGGTACATGGACTCTGGGGCGACAGAGCATCTAACCAGCGAGATGGGGAAGCTTCACACTCGTGAACCCTATCATGGCTCCGACAAGATCCACACCGCCAATGGAGCAGGTATGCACATCTCTCATATTGGTCAAGCATCTCTTCTCACTAGACATGCCAATAGGAGTCTTCAGCTTCGCAATGTTCTTCGAGTTCCATCTGTGACCCGTAATCTTCTTTCAGTTCCTAAACTCACACGTGATAATAATATGCTTTGTGAATTTCACCCTTTTGATCTTTTTATTAAGGATCGGGGCACGAGGGACATTCTTCTTAGTGGGCGGTTGTGCCAGGGCCTCTACCGTCTGGAGCATCCTGGTGTCGCTCGTGTTTTCAGTGGAGTTCGGGTCTCTCCGTCACAGTGGCATGCTCGTCTTGGTCACCCGGCCACACCTATTGTCCGTCATATTTTGCGTCGTCATGAGCTTCCTAGTTTGTCTAGTCATAAAGATGTGCAGTGTGTGATGCTTGTCAGCAGGGGAAGAGTCATCAACTTCCTTTTTCGGAGTCCAGTCGTGAGGTGAAACATCCTTTAGAACTTGTGTTTTCAGATGTATGGGGTCCTGCTCAGACTTCTGTCGGTGGTCATAATTACTATATCAGTTTCGTTGATGCTTATAGTCGCTTTACCTGGCTTTACCTTATTAAACGCAAATCTGATGTGTTTGATATTTTTGTTCAGTTTCAAAAACATGTTGAACGTCTTCTCAAGCACAAAATTGTTCATGTCCAGTCAGACTGGGGGGGCGAGTATCGCAACCTCAACTCTTTCTTTCAGTCGCTTGGGATAGCTCATCGTTTAGCATGTCCACATACACATCAGCAGAATGGTTCAGTCGAACGTAAGCATCGTCATATTGTTGAAGCTGGTCTTACTCTTTTGGCCCATGCATCTGTTCCGTTTCGGTTTTGGAGTGATGCTTTCACCACTGCATGCTTTCTCATCAACCGTACTCCTACTCGTGTTTTAAACATGAAGACTCCCATTGAGGTTCTCCTTAATGAACAACTTGATTATACCTTTCTCAAGGTATTTGGGTGTGCTTGCTGGCCGCATCTTCGTCCATATAACAAGCGCAAGCTTGAGTTTCGTTCTAAGAAGTGTGTTTTTCTTGGCTATAGCTCTCTTCATAAAGGTTACAAATGACTTCATGTTCTCACTAATCGTGTCTATATATCTCGGGACGTCGTGTTTGATGAGCATGTTTTTCCCTTTGCCAACCTTCCTGTGTCCACTGTCGAACCACCATCCCTGCATTCATCCTCTGTTGCTTCTGACCAATTTGATGATGTTGCATACTCTCCTTTGCTGTTACCTAACCATGGTGCAGGAACCGGACGTGAAGCTCGTTTGGAGCTGTTGGAGGATTCACCACCATCATCGTCGTCTTCTGGTGGGCACGTCGATCGCCCTATATTGCATGGCATCGATTCGCGTGCCCATGCATGGTCACCCGACGAGCCCGTCGCGCCGAGCATCTCCACTGCTCGGTCCGTTTCACCAGCGGCCGCCGAGTCGCCCGCGGCTCGGCCCGTCACGCCGTCTTCGCCTGCGGCTCGGCCCGTCACGCCGTCTTCGCCCGCGGCTCGGGTCCTCACGTCGTCTTCATCAGCGGATCGGCCCGTGACACCGGCCGCGCCACGGCCCACTATGCCGAGCTCGCCATCGGCCCGGTCTGTGATGCCGGAGTCGCCAGCTGCTTCGTCTGCTCTGCCGGTTTCGCCGGTGGGTCGGCCTTCTTCGCCAACCGAGTCCGAGGCTACCGTGACTGGCTCCTCGTCACCGGCTGACTCGTCAACGTCGCCATACTCCAGCCCGTTGCAGGCTGCTCCGTCGACCTCGGTGGTTCCTGTGTCCCGACCACATACACGCAGTCGCAGTGGCATTTTCAAACCTAAGGAACGTAAGGATGGTACGGTTGCTTGGTTGGCTGCTTGTTTGGCTGCTGCTGTTGCGGATCCATCTTCTGAGCCTCGCTCATATCAGGCTGCCCTGCGCATTCCACATTGGCGAGAGGCTATGGAGCAGGAGTTTCATGCTCTTCTTCGTAATAAGACATGGACTCTCGTTCCTCCACCACCACGGGTAAATGTTATTGACTCAAAATGGGTATTCAAAGTGAAGAAGCATTCGGATGGATCTATTGAGCGTTACAAAGCGCGACTTGTTGCTCGCGGTTTTCGGCAGTGTCATGGTCTTGACTATGAGGACACCTTCAGTCCTGTCGTCAAGCCTACCACTATTCGGCTTCTTCTCTCCATTGCTGTTTCTCGTGGTTGGTCACTTCGTCAACTTGATGTGCAGAATGCTTTTCTACATGGATTTTTGGAGGAAGAGGTTTATATGAAACAGTCGCCTGGTTTCTCTGATCCTGATCGTCCTGACTATATCTGTCGTCTTTCCAAAGCACTATATGGTTTGAAGCAAGCTCCTCGTGCCTGGCATGCCCGCCTTGCCTCTGCCCTTCGTGCTCATGAGTTTGTGCCGTCTACTGCTGACACTTCGTTATTTCTTCTACAGAAGCCAGAAGTCACTATGTATCTTTTGGTATATGTCGATGATATTATCCTTGTCAGCTCTTCTCAGTATGCTGCTGATGCTCTTGTCTGCTCTCTTGGTGCTGATTTTGCGGTCAAAGATCTTGGGAAGCTTCACTACTTTCTTGGAGTTGAGGTCACTTCTCGTGCTACTGGTCTTGTCCTTACGCAGAAGAAGTACTCCTTGGAGTTGTTACAGAGAGCTGGCATGCTGAAGTGCAAACCGACCACCACACCCATGTCGTCTACCGACAAGATAACAGCTGTTGATGGTGAGCTTTTGTCTCCTGCGGATGCCACAGAGTACAGGAGCATTGTTGGTGGACTTCAGTACTTGACGATCACGAGACCAGATATCTCTTATGCTGTTAACAGGGTTTGTCAGTATCTTCAGGCTCCCAGAGATACTCATTGGGCTGCTGTTAAACGCATTCTTCGTTATGTTCAGTTCACCCTGACATTTGGTATGCATATTCGGCCGACTTCCTCTCGGGTCCTTTCGGCCTTCTCTGATGCAGATTGGGCTGGTAGCCCAGATGACAGGCGATCCACGGGGGGTTATGCAGTATTCTTTGGCTCTAATTTGATCGTCTGGAGTGCTCGGAAACAGGCTACTGTGTCACGTAGCAGTACTGAAGCTGAGTACAAGGCTGTGGCTAATGCTACTGCAGAGATTATTTGGGTGCAGTCTTTGCTTCAGGAGTTGGGTTTGTCTCAACCACAGCCTCCTATTCTTTGGTGTGATAACATCGGTGCTACATACCTTTCTGCAAATCCAGTATTTCATGCCCGAATGAAACACATTGAAGTTGACTATCACTTTGTACGGGAACGTGTATCACAGAAGCAACTCCAGATCAAGTTTATCTCATCTAAGGATCAACTTGCAGACATCTTCACTAAGCCTTTACCGCTGCCACAGTTTAAGGCTTGTAGGCGCAATCTTACCCTTCTTAGTTTTTTAGAAAGTGGCTAAGATTGAGGGAGGGTGTTAGACTATGTATAGCTTCTGTACCTATGTACGTATATGGTACATATTGTAACACAACCATTATATATAATGAGATAAGCCACCCCTAGAGGGTCGTGCTGGTTCCCCAAAACTTATTGTCTTACACCGCTGAGGTGGAGTTGGCGCCGTGATACTCTCCGGCAGCCTCGCGCGCTGTCATGGTGGTGTAGATCGCTCCGGCCCGCACGCCGGCATGGTGAAGATGGCACCGGGCTGTAAGCCAGCAGCTTCGATGTCATTGTGGTGGTATAGATGGCTCCGGGCCGCACGCCGGCATGGTGGAGGTGGCGCCGGGCTGTAAGCCCGCAGCTTCGTCGCTGTCGCGGTGTCGTAGATAGCGCCGGACCACGCGCCGGCGCGGTGGAGATGACTCCGGGCTGCAGGTCGGCAGCTCCGTCGTTGTTGTGGTGGTATAGATGGCTCCGGGCCGCACGCCAGCATGGTAAAGATGGCGCCGGGCATGCGGGTCGGCAGCTCCGACATTGTCGTGGTGGTGCAGATAGCGTCGGGCCGGATGTCGTCGCCGAGGTGGTGTTGGTGGCTCGCCGTGCTCGGCGTGGGCGCCGGTGCGTCGTCCCGTCCTTGACGCCGTCACCACGGGCGCGTATCCTCTTGGCTGGGTGGCCTCCCCTCTGAAATGAGAAATGCAAAGAGAAAAGGCATAGTGTGATGATTGCCATTGTTGAAGACGGATGTATTTGTTGTTGCAGCGTGTGGCAGCCCATATGAAGACTTCGTCGCACTCGCCGGCGGAGGTTCGTCGTCGTCGCGGACGCCGGCGCATCATCTGCGGCCTAGGAGTGCACCGAGACCGAGCGCATGGTCTGTTGGCACGGTACTAGCAGCCTCCGACGGCGTGTGTGGTCGCTGCCTCTCTGTCCGCCTTCCTCTGGACCTGGGATGAGAGATGAAATGGGAGACGAAACAATGAGAAGATTAAATACATAAGCATGCCGTTGACAAAGAAGGATGTCCGTGTTGATTGTTGATGTAGGGTGTGGTATTCCAAGGCTCCGTCGGGCTCGCCGGCAGACACAAGAAGACCGGTGCATCATCTGCGGCCTACGAGTATACCGAGGCGGCGCGCATGGTCCGTCGCCGGGGTGCCGCGGCCTCCGTCGGCGCGTGTAGTCGCTGCCACCAGATGGGCGCGTCTCCTCTGGGTTCCTCCCCCTCAAGCTGCGTACGCGCATGAGTATATATAGGCAAAGGTGTGGGAATGGATAACTATGACCTTGCGCGAGCTCTACGTAAACCAGCTGCATGCGCGGACGGTGCGGCCTCCTCGTTGCTGAGCGGGAGCTCCTGGTCTTGTGGAGAGATGAGCGGATAAGTACGCTTCCGTGAGATTAGCTTGTACTGGTGTGGAGGTCAAGCACCCAACCGGGCTGGTGTGTTGGATCAGGTGCGTGTACATCATGCGCAAACAAGTCTTACGTTGCATGGGACGTAAACATGGTCCGGTTGATTCATCTGGCCTTTGCTTAATAGTATATGCTCCATGCATGCATACGCACAGTGCAATACGGAGTCATGCATGCACATATAACTGTGATTAATTAACCAGACTGATTAGGCCACATGGATGCATGATACCCTCATCATGGCATGTGCGTAAGCTGTGTTCATGCATAGCTCTTGTATTCTCACGCACATCCATTTGCTTGTTAACTGAAGCTCACTAGACCACGTACGTGTAGGCATAATTAAATTATGCTCCACCAATCTCAATGAACCCTTTTAATGAGAAAATCAATATCTTGGTCATTGCTATACACATGTAGGTGCACACGTATTAATGTCATATTTCATAATTGACAATCCCGAAATGGCGACAAAATCGCGTCGAACAATGACTACATGCATGACCTTGACAATGTGGCATGGTTGCTTGAGGAGCAAAAATAGGTAGTGGGTTACAATTATTTAAAATAGAAAATTTCATCCAAGTTGAAGTCCTAAATTTAGCATGAGTGCCTGCATAATCCTGAATTTATTTCAGGATTCTCGACGACGTTCGCTCAGTGGAGACCTCGTTCCCTTTCACTACAAGTCGCTTTGTGGTAACTTTGTCAATCTTAAGATTTGTCTGCTTAGTCTCTCGAATATGTCATGATAGTAGGATATGCGTATGTGCATTCATAAAAATGAATGTTCATGTGTTTCCACGACCGTCTGCATTTGTACCATATTTCTTAAAAGAAAATACTCCCTCCGTTTCATAATCATCGTCATGGTTTTAGTTTAAATGAAACAGAGAAAGTAACACATATTTCATGCAGCAAATTTATAATCTAACTGATTCTTAATGTACATCTCAACAAAAAGTTAAAGAGTAGACATATTTCCTTTTTGCGTATTCATGTTCGCCAAGAGACGATACGAAACAACTTCATTTGTAGACTAAAATGTGTAAGTCAATGACAACACAGATGCCAACTTTAGTGAAGCCAGATTTTCCGTTTTCAATTTTAGGTTTAGGTCAAAAGAAACTTTTTGACGATGTGTGTCCAGTGAAAAAAACATTTTCATCGACTAGGAAGATGTTTGTGATGACTTTATCAATAATCCTACATTTGTGCGAAAAAATAAATAAGTATTTGCATCAGTACATATTGTGTTAATAGAAAATTGTTCGTGGGCTGCTCTAGTTGACCTCGTCGGAGGATTCAGGCCAACTCCACCGCGCGACCCCTTCCTGTCCGGCTCCATTCATTTGGGGTAAAAGGAACAAACCAGACGGCCCAGCACGCGATGGCCTGGACCCATCTGATTCGTTTTGTGTCCGGACCGACCCATTTCAAGCGCAAACATGCGTCGGGTTTGGGTCGTGGTGGACAACAAACAGACGTGATGCTCGTCCGCGTTGGGGCCGCGTGGCAGGCGGCCACCTACCTCCCACCCGCCAATATCGATGCGCACGCACGGCCGGCCCCACCTGTCATCCGCCCAGGCGCACGGTCGCCGTCCTTCTTAAATGGGGAGGCTGTGGACCAGTCGTCGTCCACACTTTCCACTCCAGCCCACTGCCTTCTCGAAACCCAACACCCCAAGCCCTAGCCTCTCCCCGTTCTTGAGCTCGCCGGCCGGCCACCTCGCAGCCATGGGGTTCTGGAACCACGACCGCAATGGGAAGCACGACCGCAAGGCCGGCTCCTCCTCGGGACTCCGTCGCGGCTCCGCGAAAGAGGAGGCCGCTCCGCCGCCGCGTCGGGCCCTCGCGCCTGCCCCATTCACCGTCGCCCTTAGGGCCGCCGGCGAGCGCGACCGACAGTACCTGGCCGTGGACGTATGCTGGCGTTATTGGGAGATGCGGACGCCGGTCCCGTGGAGCGACGTCCACCTTCGCAACAACTGGCACCTCTCCGCCGACCGGGTCCCGATCCCGCCGGTCCCGTTGAGCGGCCGTGCGCGCCGCGATGAGATCGCGTGCCGATGCCGCCTCCTCCCCGACGATCTCTACTACCACGATAGGTACGCCTCCGATTCCGTGCTCTAGGACACGTGGCTCCAGGATGAGCACGACGTGCGGCACGCTTCCTACTTCGCCGGCACGACGTCGGGGCCGCGGCGGCCACATCAGGAGGTGCGTGGGCGTACACGGGTGTGCGGCCTCACGCCCACGCCGTCGCCGTCCCCATCTTCGTCGCCACCTCCACCTCCTCGTATGACAGCGAAGGAGGAGGCCCGGCTCATGTAACCTGTCATGGAGGACTCCACGAACACGCACGATGAGCGCCAATGGCCAGGCCTCAAGGAGACGATGGCCCTCTTTGCGGCCGGCGACGTCGCCATCCTCGAGCTGGAGATGGCGAGGGCGGAGGAGATGGTGAAGGAGGAGCCGGTGGCCGCGTTCCACCCGACCCTGGTTGGGCAGCACTGGAGCTGGTCGTGCTCGGCTTCGGAGATGGCCGACACCGTGGGGGTCGCGAACTGGTGCCCCATGCCACCGCGGTCAGTGGAGCGGGACGCGTCGCCACAGAAGGAGGTGGTGAAGGCACCTCCCGCCTTCGAGCCCGCCCCCGTCTACCACACACCGCCGGCTCACCTCTGGACGCCGCCGGACTACGTCGACCTTGCCAGCGACGAGACGACACCGCCGGCCACTAAAGACGGCGACGACGACGGCATCGACGAGCACGACAGGAGCGCGCGGGCGGCGGCCGTTTTTATTTTGTTTTTATGTTAATTATGGCAATGTGAACCGTGAAGCTGGACTGTTTTGTGGCTGTGAACCTAAACTTATGTTTTATGTTTTTTATTTGCGTTTATTTATTTTTAGGCATTTTATACAAATTTTTCTGTTTCTTTAATCACATTCATCCCGAACATGATTTAAGATGCGGCCACGTGTTGGACATATCCACGACCCAACGAATAAAAATAAATATGGACGAACACATTGCCGCCTTAAATGAACGAAATCTGGCCAAATCAAACGTCCAAACCGTTTGGGCGTGGTTCGGCTGACGGGGGCCGTGCACGTCGCGCGTGTCACCGGCCGTTCAGCTGATGGGGCACCTGGCGGCTGCTGCGGAAGCCTTTGAGACACGTGCCGGGGAAATGGACAGACACTCTCTCTCCCTGTCTCTCGTCCGGCCCCAATCCTCCTCGGCTCCCACGACGGACGGACACAAACGCGGGCGCCGCCCGACGCGCACAGGAGAGTGCCGGCGATCGGAGAAGGAGATCTGAATCAAGGTATGCGCAAGTTTCTTCTTTGCATCGTGCTGCTGCTATGCGTTACCGGTAGGTTTCAAATCTTGGTCCATACAAGCAAAAACCATGTTTACCATCGAAATAATGTGCAGAATACATTCAGGTGGTTCATTCAAGCAAACCTTGCACAAATTATTCATTCCCCCTTCCTTAGCTGAACCAACTGTGCGCCTAACCCAATCCCCCTGCACTCTTGGCGTGTCTCCAGAAGCTGTTTCACCTCCTCGATCATTGGCCCCAGCATCGGCACGTCACGCTCCTTGTTCTGAAGCTTGCTGACGATATCTTTGCAATCCATCTCAATATGCAGTCTAGTAGCAGTCACTTCGTCAGCTATGATCTTTGCTGGCTCCATAGACTGAGGAAAGAAGAGGCATGCCCCTCCCAGGAAGGCACCCTCGTGATTTCTGAACACCACTCCCATGCCACCCTTCTTTCCCATCTTGGTCGTTGCTCCCATTTCTGCATTGGTACAGGCTTCACAATCTTGCTCTTGCGGCCAGGAACCGACTGTCATTCCTCCATCACCTTCACCACTGATCGAGCAGTATCTGACGCCTCTTCGATCCTCCTTCCATCCCGTGCACTGTATCTTACCGACCATAGCCCCATAGAGGCCCTGAACCATGGTAGCTCGTTCGCCGTCAGAGGCATTCGCCAACCACGACAGCAGCCATCTAGAAAGATCACCCTGGGTCCTGGGAGCTAACTGAAACCGGTGGAGAACTCCCAATTCCGAGCGCATTACCTTCCAGAATTTTGCTGAATGATGACAGTCCCAAAACCGATGATATTTTGTTTCTTCTCGACCACAAGCAACACAGAAGACTCCAGCCTTAATTCTTCGCCTGTGAACTTCTGAGCCGACCGCCAGCCCATTTCGGATCCATCTCAATGTGTGTGTTTTAACTTTTCCCGGAGCTACAGTGTCCCACAAACTCAGCCAGCCCTTGTGATTATTTCGGCAGATCCCTGCATTGTATGAATAAATAGAGGAGATGTTGACACTAAAAAAAACATGTTTACCATCTATAATCCTCAATTTCTCCCTCACTCAGTAACCCCGTCATAAAAAATCTAGTGTTTTTTTTGCAGGGATAGTGAAATACTCCCTCCGATTCTAAATATAAGTCTTTTTAGAGATTCCAATGTAGACTACATATGGAGCAAAATGAGTGAATCTACACTAAAACGCGTCTATATACATCCTATGTAGTCCGCATAGGAATTTCTAAAAAGACTTATATTTAGGAAAGGAGGGAGTATCTTCTTGACGCATAATAACTTGAGTTTACCAGAGTTGTGCACTATAACAAAGGGTACATTACTGCATTAGTAGAACACAAATCATGGATTCGTTTCAGTGAAGATACATATCATGATACTCATGGATGATAACTTGAATTTGGTGGAGCTAGGCACAAATGCACACTTTTTGTGAAGTTAGCTTATGCTAGTACAACCGAACCCAGGAAG